TTAAAATTATTATATATTCTTTTTTTTTCTTAATAATTTATTTTTATCTCTTTAAAATTTTATAAATTCAATTTTCTCTAAAATTTTAAAAAAATCATCCATAACATAAAATTTTACGTCTTTTTATTCTAATAATTAATCTTCACTCCTTTCTAACTTGTGCGTTATCATAAGGTTATTATTGAAAAACAACGACACCCCTTGCAAAACTCTTTGCAAATTCACATTATAATAGAACTAAAATAAACACCTCTCTTTAATGAAAATATCCATAGCATGTTTGTCGTTGACATTCACATGAATGTCAAATAAAAAAAATAACAAGCGTTGTATTCTATATCAGAGATAAAGATCAGATTAGATTATCTAATTTAATCTTATTTAATCTAAAATTATCTTGTATAAATCTTATTTTGTGTAAACCTTTTCTTATCTTTGTATAATTAAGCTTTCTTATAATCCCACATATATATTCATCACTTGTAAATATTATATTCATCAAATATATAAATCTTTTACATGGTGATCAAAGCTAAGTAGAATTTCTCTACTTGGTTATTTTTCTCATCTTCCTCTTTCCTTCAAACCATATATCCTTTCATGGCCCCGTCTTCCACCACTAATAATCTTGTGCATCTCATTGCACCGGCCAATTTTCAATTAAATTTACGTTCGTTACTTTTTTTGTTTGGCGTTAATAAGTGGAGGCCACCCTCATAAAATTCTGGGCTAATAATTTGTATTGATGGATCGTAGCTCTCTGTTTAAGTTTAAGTTTATTGATGTTACTCTCAATTTTTTTCTATAATGTTTAAATAGATTAGATTGTTTAACAAAATATAATACTAAATATTAAAAATGAGTATAAAAATTAAATATCAAAATAAGAAAACAAACATAGTTTATGAGTTAAATTCAACACTAATCATTTCAATAATTTATATGATGGTAAAACGTCAATTTGCATATGTTTAATAGAATTCTACCTGCATGAATCCTAGTGATTTCAATGGTCAAATAAATTGTTGTTATTTCTTAAGGTTTTTAGTTCGAACACCAGAAATACAAAAAATATGAACATTTAATTTTAAATAATTAAAAATTTATCTTTAAATAAATATTACCTTCAATATTATAAAAAGAAAACAGAAAAACAGAATTCTACGTTACTGAAATAATACAAAGGAAGAAAAGGGCACGTTTGATATTTTTATTCTAAAAATAATTGTATCTATCACAAGGCTGAATTTTGGATTCCTCAAAACGACAAGTCGTTGAAAAAAAGTTTAAATCTCTTCAACGTGACATTGACGTGTTCGAATGACGGGATGGTTTAAGTTGATAAATTTATTTTTTCGATCTATTATTTTATATTCTTTTCGTCTCATTATTATTGTTTATTATTAATTAAGTACATAATTTTAGTAAGTTAATTTAATCACATGCCCAACAGTATAAAATGATAGAAATGATAAAATTATTTTTAAAAAATGGTTGATAGGTTTAATAAACTTGTTTTGTTGGAATAATATGATAAAAAATCAATATTTTTAAAATCGGATTGGACCTTAAACCGACGAAGATACTGATTCACTGGTTTAACCGGGTTAAACCGCGGTTGAACAAATTTATATAAAATAATATTTTTTTAAAATTTTACATAATATTCAAAGTAATATTAATATATATATATATATATATATATATATATATATATATATAACACTCTTTTTAAGTTCACAATATTAAAAGGTATAAAAATATCACAAGTCATAACATATAAGTTAAATACCATAATATAAAGTGAAACAAAATGATTCAAATCGACTACAACATAATATTTAATGTCAATACCTAATGAAATTCATCAACAACTAAATAAAAAAAAGTACATAATTGATACAAGTATCAATCATCATAATATTCATTAAAATTGATTCCCTCAAATTCCAAAATATTAGGAAAAACTTCTTCATTAGTTAAACTACCACCGCCATCACCACTTTGAACTTAAAATTTCATAGCATCACTTTGAACTTGAAAGTCCACAACATCACTTTGAACTTGAAAGTCCACAGCATCACTTTGAACTTGAAAGTCCACAGCATCACTTTGAACTTAAAAGTCCACAGCATCACTTTGAACTTGAAAGTCCACAACATCAAAATCTTCATCAACTAGCAATATGATAAATAAATACAAAGTTAAATTTAAATTCTCAAACAATATTTAACAATTAAAAGTAAAAGTGTAAAAGATATTAAATAATAAATATAATTATATAACTAAAATCATAAAATAAATTTAGGGCTGAAAAAAAATCATAACAAACAACGTCGTTTGATTTATTTATTTTTTTAAAAACTGAACTTGCGGTTCACACCGGTTTGGCCGGTTCACACCGGTTTTGTCGGTTCCCAACCGGTTCTTTGTAAAACTGGTTTTGGAGGCTGACTGGACAGGACATGCAACTGGTTTCCGGTTCAACCAATCGAACCGACCGATCCAATCCGATTTTGATAGCATTGTAAAAAATTAAAATATAAATGTTATTATTTATTTATTTTTTAATAACATATTTTAAGCGGGACAATTTAAAATTCACAAAGTACAAAATTATTGGGACAGATGGAGTAATTTTTGTAAGCCTTGATAAACTAAAATCATTATTTATTAACTTAATTTTTAATATTGAATGTGAGCTTTGGAACTAAGATTAAAGTATAATTCTATTCATGGATGGATCAAAGGGTATTAGGGATGCGATCTTACTCTTGAAAATTTTAATTTCTATATAATTTAGATTTTTTTTATATTTTTTATCGATAATATAATTTCGTACTCCTAAAATTTTGTAATTCTACACCTCCTAAATCACTATAAGAAATTTTTACTATTGTGACAAATTTAATTTGTCAAAATTAATTTTGTCACTATTAATAGCTTTTTAGTGACAAAATTAATAATCGTCACATTAGATTAAAAAAAGGTATACAATTATGACAAAAGCTAAAATCTTCATAATAATTTGTCACAATTAGCAAACATGTGTAACAAAATAAATTTTATTACGAATTTTTTTCACAAATGTTTTCCTCCAATTTTTTGGCGCCAAATTAAAGGCATATAATGACAAATTTTGTAACTAAAAGTTTTAGTAACTATGACAAAAAAATTGTCACAACAAATAATGAGATTTAGATTTGTTGTGATAAATTTTGTTTGTGATTATATATTTTAATTATAGTGACAAAATGTATAGTCATATAAATGATTATCTCCAATTTTTTGTACAAAAACAAAATCATACAGTGACATGATTTGTAACTAAAGTTATAATTATTGTTACAAAAAAAAAGTTGTCACAATAAATAATGAGATTCAAGTTTTTAATAAAAAACAGTGTTTGTCGTTATATGTTTTAATTATAGTGACAAAATATATTGTCACAAAGATTTCCTCCATATTTTTGCGCCAAAAAGTCATATATTGACAAATTTTGTAACTATAAGTGTTAATAATTATTACAAAAACATTACCACAAAAAATAATGATATTCACGTTTTTGTGACAAATTATATTTGTAGTTATAAATTTTAGCTATAGTGATAACATATATTGTCATAACTATTTTTCTCCACTTTTTTGTTTTAAAAGTTATATTGACAATTTTTATAATTATAATTTATAGTTATTGTTATAGAAAAAATTATCATATCAAATAATAAAATTTAAGTTTTTTGTAATTAATTATTTATGTACTTATATATTTTAATTATTATAAAATACTATATTATCAAAATCATTTTTCCTATTTTTAGTGTCAAAAATGTTATATAGTGTCAAAAATGTTATATAGTAACAAAATATATTGTCATAAAAAAATTTCTTCATATTTTTTTGCGCCAAAAAAAATCATATAATAACAATTTTTGTAACTATAAGTGTTTATAATTATTACAAAAACCATTGTCACAAAAAATAACGGTATTCATATTTTTGTGATAAATTATACTTGTAATTATAAATTTTAATTATAGTGATAACATATATTGTGATAAATGTTTTTCTCCACTTTTTTTATTTCAAAAAGTTATATTGATAAGTTTTGTAATTATAATTTATAGTTATTGTTATAAAATAATTATCTCATGAGATAATAAAATTCAAGTTTTTTGTAATCAATTATTTTTGTAGTTACATATTTTAGTCATTATGAAAATTATACTATCAGAAACATTTCTGCCTATTTTTTTGTGCCAAAAATGTTATATAGTTATTGTTATAGAAAAAGTATAACAAAAAATATTTTTTAATTAATAAATGATTTTAGTTTTTTATGAAAAAATATGTTTATAGTTATACATTTTGATTATAATGATAAAATATAATTATTACTGTTGAGTCAATTGAAAAGATGAAATAGAGGTACTAAACATAGTAAATTTAGTCAAAATTAAAATTTATGTCAAATTTATCTATTAGTAAACTAGTAATCTTTGAATGAAATAGTTTTTTTAAAATAACTACTAAAAATTATTAAAAAATTAACGAGCTGCTCGTGAACTTATGATTCGAGTTAAACTTTATTCGACTCAACTCATTAAGATCTCGAGTATAATTAACCCGAGTTGAACTTTTACCGAGTTTTGACCGAGTGGATCATCAGCCATAAAACCCAAACAAAAGAGACGAGAATATTAGCCCAATTGACCCATTAAAATGTTGAAAAATAGGGTTACATTTATAAAGTATTTCACTTTTGCTAAACCCTTTTCCATTCCTCTGTCAACAGCCGCTGCAGACTCTCTCTCCAGGGTTTCAAGGTCATTCTTCGTAGTATACTAATGGTGTTTTAAAAAATGTCAGGGTAAATGAAAAATAGGGCTACATTAAAATGCTTCGTAGTATACAAGGGATTTATCCTTTTGTTTTCGGTTATTTTTTCGGTGGATTTATTTTGAACTTCACTAGCATTTGTATCGATGAGTTTGACGAAGTTGTCTTTGTGGGGAGAGATGAGATCAGTATCTGGAGATGTACAAAAAGTCAATAGAGGATCCCGCTGGATTTTGGTCAGACATTGCCTTATGGGAGTTCTATTGGAAGCAAAAATGGGGAGATCATATCTACTCTGAGAATCTCGATGTCAATAAAGGAAATATCAAGATCGAGGTATTTCTCTCTATCCTTGTTCTTTCTTTCTTTCTTTTTTTTTTTGGATTTATTTAGTTTAGCATTAAGGTCAACGCTGATTGGATTACTTTATTTTTGGGGTTTTGCAAGTGGTTCAAAGGCGGGATCACCAATATATGCTACAATTGCTTAGACAGAAACATCGATGTTGGGCTTGGAGACAAAATCGCCCTTCACTGGGAATCCAATGAACCTGGCTTTGATGCCCATTTAACTTACTCCCAGCTACTGCACCGAGTTTGCCAGGTTTCTTCAACTTTATATTAATTCTCCGCATTTTACAACTTCTTCAATTGGAATCACATCTGATTTATTGTCGTCTTCTCTGCAGCTCGCTAACTACCTGAAAAGTATTGGAGTTAAGAAGGGTGATGCTGTTATTGTTTATTTGCATATGTTATTGGAACTCCCGATTACCATGCTCGCCTGTGCTCGCATTGGTGCAGTTCACTCGGTACGCACCCCTTCTTGCACATAAATAAGATGAACAATGTGAAACAATTTACTATACCATAAGAGATTATTTTGTTAATTTGTATTTTTTATTATTGAATAAATTCCCAACTCCTTTTCCTTTTCAAGTTGTATTTACTGGATTTTCTTCAGATTCTCTTGCCCTACGAATAGTGGACTGCAAACCAAAAGTTGTTATTACTTGTAATCTGTTAAAAGAGGCCCTAAGGCCATCCATCTCAAGGACATTGTTGATGCTGCCCTTATTGAATCGGCCAATAATGGATTCCCCATAGGTTGGTTTACATTAAGAAACCAGTATCTGATTTGAAGATGATTTCCTCCATAGTAGTTCATGCATATTCAGAGTTTAGACCGGATCAAACCTTTTTTCTCTACTGAATCTTAGGTCTTTTACATAAGACAATGCTTTGGAGCACTTATCTTTTACCTAAATTTTGGTTTTCATATCAATGAAAATATTGGGCTACAATATCCCCTTCTGCTACTGTTCCTTCTATTATATTCAGAATGTTTTAATAGCTTAGAGTGGTTGCCAATTTTCCTTACATTCCTGATGGAAAGTACCGTATGCTAGCCAAATATAGCTTAACATAACCGATGTAGAGCAACATGTAGAGCATGATTGATGTTAATCAAGTTGGTAAGTATTTGTGACAAATAATATTCTTTCACAATGACAAATAATATTCTTTCACAATAACAAATTGTAACAAATGATTTAGTACTTTTAGTGATAAATAATTTTGTTGAAACAATACAAATTTCTTGTAGTGAATTCTTAATATAAATTCCTAAGTTCATACAATCTAATATAAAATCTTACATCCATTCTTAATTCTATCAGATTTTTAATGATTAAATTGAATTAGATATATTAACGATCAAATATCATATTTTATATAAAATAAGATTCAATGTTTAAATTATGAAAGAAATATCTTAGTGTAGGAGATAAATTTAGAACACCTGGTTAATGAGATAATTAAGTATAATACATATTTTATTGTAAAATTTTGTTTTATACATGAGTATAAAATTTCGAAGGAAGAAGTATAATTTATTTTGTTTTATATTTTAAATCAATATTTTTTGTTATGCAGGATGAAGATATGTTACGTAAAATATATGTTTATATTTATTCTTTTTATACATGTACAACATTTGTTTATTTTTTAAATAAATTTTATTTTTATATTTTTAGTCTTTCTCTTTATTTCCCTTTCATTCAGTCTTACTTTAAAAATTATGATCAACTTCTAACATATCAATGGAAAAAGTTTTCTACAAAATAAACGTCTTCTGAAAATCGTTTCTTATAGAAAGTATTTTTTTACGTGACACAAAAGAATATGAATTTAAGAAATAATCTGAAACGAATATTATTTTAGATATTAGTTTTTTTTTGATATTAGGGTAAAATCGCCCATATGATGTTGTTCATCGACAACCATAAATCCATGGGTGGACCAATGTCCCAAAAGAAGACACGTATTCTCTGACTTTTTTTATTTACAGTGTAGGAGGGTGCTTCATAATGCGCCTTTACAGTCAAAAGTGAGCCTTCGCTGACATTCCCTTGTTTCTTTATGGGTCTCAAGTCAAACCCCTTTCCTTTAATCTTTCGCCGAAAGACAAGGAGTTTAGGCTACCTTGCTAACACTGCCTCTTCCTATGTTATACGATACCAGAAAGAAGGAAAGAAAGTAAACAACTGGGAACCACGAATCTTTGACCAAATCTATGGTCAGTGCTTGCAAGAACCTTGTCAAAGACCAGTAAGAGAATCCCCTTGTCCTAACCAATCGTGTCACATACACTACCAAAATGCTGAAAATACATGTTGTAACATCCCAATCAGAAACGATTTTATGAAGATTCCTTATAGAGATTTAAATTTATATTTGTTAATGACAACTTTTGAGTTGTATTGAGGAATGATTCATCTTTTTAGTTTAAATGAAAAATTATAACTGATAAGTTTACAGTTAATGATAGATTGAAGATAATAAATTATTATTTTTATCTTCGGAAAAGAGATAGAAAAAACCCTTTTTATAGGTCAAGAAGGTTTATATATTAATCTTTAGTGTTTGTAACATATATATGGACATAATGATTACTCGTAGGTTGACAGGTTAAATAAATATGTTGTCAGATCATGTGGGCCTATCACTAATCGTGTCAATATGTTGTAGTAAGCTAGTGATATAGAACTCTAAAGAAGATTTGGAGGAACTATAACAAAATTTGATGTTGTAGTAAGCATGAAATATTCTAGTTGATGAGTGGGGCTTTTGAGCATCTGGATCACTACGAATGTTCTGGTGCATATACAGGACTACAGCTCCAAAATTCCATATCAATCTTTTCTCAAGGAATCATCCTTTAGAGCTCAAGTGGGACACCAACATTTTTCAACCCAATATAAATACCCTCCCCTACTCCCCCTTTCTTCCTCACCTCATTATAAGGTTTCCAAAACCCTAAAATTTTTCAGCCAATTAAACTAGCTATGGAGCATGCTGATAACCTACGGTATACTTCCATCTCCATTCTCCATCATGTAAACCCACACTAATAACGACATTAATAGTGAAAACAACATACCAGATGCAGTTTGAATAATTTACTGTTGTAATGCAGGAATAAATGTGCGGCCTGCTTCAGACAGTTCAACAGAAAGGAGCATCTTGTTGATCATATGAGAACTTCGTATCATTCCGTCCATGAACCCACCTGTGGAGTTTGTAAGAAACATTGCCGATCCTTTGAATCTCTAAGAGAACATCTAATAGGTAAGTAATTCAAGTCATTAATTATTCACACACACTTATATACAGATTCTTGAAACTTGACTCATGAAAACTAAACACTTTGTTCGTAAACATAGGTCCGTTGCCTAAACAAGAATGCAAGAGCTTGTTCAACATCCGAGGCTGCAAATTCTGCCTGGCCATTCTGGATAGCCCTTATGCCCTTAGGGTTCATCAAGATAGATGCCGGCTCCTTGGAGTAAACTATGTATGTATTAGCTCAAGTCAACTATATGTATATGTATATAATGGCGTTTTTGGTATCTTGTAATTCAGTTTTTTTTCTTCTTCTTCTTAATATAGGGGATACAGGCTCATATGGCTAACTTGGGTCTTCGAGATAGCTTGACGATCGACAATGGTTATTCACGAGGACCCCAGGTGGTTGCACTCGCATGCAAAACAGTTGGTGGTGGCAGTGACGGGTCACTGGATCTTTGTGCAAGGGTTTGCATCATTGATGAAAATGAGAATATAATCTTCCATTCTTATGTGAAACCTCCTATTCCAGTTACGAACTATAGGTATGCCACTAGGGTATAAATCTTTATAATTTCAGACATGGAAATTAGGATAAGATCTTCTAAATATATGAAAAAACTTTAAAAAAATTGAACACGTATACATGTGTTCGATACTCTCACCTTAATTCGAGTAATATAGATTCATTGTTTGAATTACTTTCAGGTATGAAACAATTTCGAGTAATATAGATTCATTGTTTGAATTACTTTCAGGTATGAAACAACAGGCATTAGACCTGAACATTTGAGAGACGCAATGCCATTGAGACAAGTTCAAAGAAGGATTCAAGATTTCCTTTGCAATGGAGAACCAATTTGGAAAATTCGATCACCTAAAGGTGGAAAAGCCAGGATTCTCGTAGGTCATGGTCTCGATCATGACCTAGATAAAATGCAACTCGAATATCCACCAATCATGATAAGGTAAAAGTTTATGGATGCTATATATAAACACACATAAAAGTCAACCTGCACTCTTCTTTCCAAGAGCTCAATTTGCAGATTCAGCTTTTCTATCTCTATATTCTCTATGTTTCTTGGGATTTAATTTTTGGCGAAGTATTCAGGTCAAATATATATTCATATCCAATACTAACATCGAAGTCTGATTAACATTTAAGTTATTGCTTTTCTTTGAAAGATATAGCTCAACAATGAAATTAATGTATAAGATTGTTTTCCTACAGGGATACTGCAAAATATCCTCCTTTAATGAAAACAAGCAAACTCAGCAACTCACTAAAGTACTTAACTCAAGCATATCTGGGGTAAATGTTTATGGATCATCTATTTTTCTCCCTATTTGATTCATGTTCGTATCGATTACTAATCAGTCGGTGATTGTTAACGAGATATTGATACATCATCATCTTCTGTGATCAGATATGACATCCAAACTGGCATTCAAGATCCTTATGAGGACTGTGTTGCAACAATGAGGCTTTACCTGAGGATGAGGAGACAAGTTCACATGAGAGAAGATTGTCCACTGGCTTACGATCCTCAAAATCGGAACAACTTCGCATCGTGGAGGCAAAGCGAGCTCGAGAGGATCTCCCCTGAAGAAATGCTAGCGATCTCAAGGTCTGATTACTACTGTTGGTGCTTGGATTCTGCATGAAAACTATGAGAACTGGCAGCATTCTGAAAGAGAATACATGAGAGAGTTTTCAAGTATTTCATCCCCCATAACTTGTACTAGCAATAAGAAGGAAGAATATTTATTATTCCCATAGTGTTAACTTGTACTAGCAAACAATTTCTAGGATTGCATGTATGTGTATGCATGCATGCGCCAGTATAAAATATGCTAATAAAATCATCTAAATAGTAGTATTATATGATAATTCTAGTACCATCTTCCCAAATCCCACATTGTTTGACATCTTCAATCCTTATCATAAACTAGGAAGAAAGCCATTGAAACTTCAAAGGACTAGCTAGGGTTTGTGGAATCACTTTTAAGAATCGTTGTCCACTGGTTCAAATTCCATGATTTCCTCCTTATGACACATGAAAATCTTCCCAAAACAAAAAAATTCAACATATATAAAGAGACTAGCGATGAAATATGAGTCATCAAAATTTCAATTCTGTACCAAAATTTATCAGTGATTGTCTGCAATTATCAGCTGCCCGTCATCTTGGCTTTGATAGTGATTGCAAGTTTTTGGAGGATGATCAGTTTGGGAGTCGTGGAGAACATTTTTTCACATGTTTCGGTAAATAGATTAATATTTACCATGCATGTGGCAGCATCTTCACCTCATAGTTAAAATTGATTCCCTTTTATTAGGACCAGTTAACACCCACAAGTTCATCTTTAGATCTCATTGGTTTCTGCTGGAATCAGATTTCAAGGAATTCGAACTCGGTTTTTTCTTAGCTTTCTTGGGCCCTTTGGATGCAAATGTATACGTATCTCTATTCTCTAGTGCATTTAATTTCCCAGCCACGTTTTATACTCCACTTAAACTCTTTACTGAAATATATGAAAAAAATATATTTATTAATAATATTCAAAATATAACATCCTTAATATTTTTATTTAATTTTTTTATAAATATTATTTAATAATAATATTAACATAAATAATATTAAATAAATTATTCTAATATTTTAAAAATAATAATATTAATTTTTTCTAATAAATAATATTATTTATTGTACTTGATATTTATAAAAATTCATTTTTTAAAAAAATTATCAACCAGAGAAAAATGAATTCCATAAATTGTTTTTCAAGAAATTTAATTATGTAAATCATTTTCTAGAATATGTTTTTCATGAAACAAATGGACGGTGAGTGACAAACAGAATCAAAACATAATGTTATATATAATTTTGAAGAAAAAAAATAACAATTTGGTGACTAAAATAGAAACTAAGTAATAGACGGTGACCAAATAGTTAGTTTACCCGGGCCTTTGGCAGCCACCAACTTGGAGGTAAAGAAACCGGCTGAGCCAAGGTCAACTCCCCTATCCAAACAAATATTACATACATGAAACTGGTCAACTAATCTTAGACTGGCAGTAAAAAGGAACTTGAACCACAAAGTTTCATGCTTAGTGTAGGTTTCAAGCTAAACCAAGACTACCAATCCTAGCTAGCTGCAAGAATATCAAATGGCGGCCATGATCCATCGAGTTCTTCACAAAATTTCTACTCGCAGGTAACTTGTATTAGGGTCTACCCTTGGCCTTTTTCTAATAAAACGCGTACACGGTTGCTTCAAAATCGATTTACATCACACTTCCATGGCAAGAAAACGACCCCTGATCATATATATAAAAGAACCATATCCACCAATATCTATGCATAGACGCATAGTTCATATCTTCATTTGCTGCTTCATCTTGATCGTTTCAACAATGGCTCCTGCTTATTCTACCTACGTTTGCATATTTGTATCCATTTTATTAATGTTCATGCTGGAAAGTTCTCATGCTAATGCTGCTGCGGTAACTTCGGCTGCCATACGCGTAACAGTCGACCAATCGGGGAACGGAGACTACGAGAAGATACAAGATGCCATCAATGCAGTGCCATCCAATAACAAAGAACTCGTTTTCATAATGGTTAAGCCCGGCATCTATAAAGAAAAGATCATTGTGCCTACAGACAAGCCCTTCATTACCATAAGTGGCTCCAAGGCAAATGGCACTATAATAACCTGGAATGATAGTGGGGAGATATTTGAATCCCCTACCTTCACTGTGTTGGCTTCAGATTTTGTTGGCCGATACCTCACAATTCAGGTATCTCACATTTTTAATAGAATATGCTGATTTTTCAGTAGTTTAATGAAGACTTAAACTTTAAATATTTTTATTTTTAATAGAATACATTTGGACCTGGAGCTAAAGCAGTTGCGTTAAGGGTATCTGGAGATAGGGCAGCTTTCTTCGGATGCAGAATTTCATCTTTTCAGGATACATTGCTAGATGATACTGGAAGACATTATTACAAAAGCTGTTACATTGAAGGAGCAGTCGACTTCATTTTTGGAAATGCAGCTTCCCTTTTTGAGGTAATTAATGATAAATTCACTAATATATATAGTATAATCTGTTACTTGCTACTTGCTAGTCTATTTAGCAGAACTTACTTTGTTTTCAATATTATTGTTTCAGATGTGTATTTTGCATACACTCTCGGAAGGAGATGCAGCTGTAACAGCCCAACGAAGGCAGTCTCCTTCGGAGGACACAGGCTTTACTTTCTTGGGTTGCAAGATAACCGGTGTAAGGAGTGCTGTACTAGGAAGGCAATGGGGTGCATATTCCAGGGTGGTTTTTGCCTGACCTATATGTCTAATGTCATTCTTGCCCAAGGGTGGGATGACTGGGGAGACTCATCCAAGCAAAGGTAGAACAACAAAACTTCAGACAAAGATCAACTCGCTCATTTTCTTACATTATTAAAGTAGAGTTTTGAGACTGAACAAATGGTTTTCTGGGTTCTTTGATACTACAGCACGGTGTTCTACAGAGAATAAAAATGTTATGGACCTGGAGCCAATGCATGGAAAAGGGTTGAATGGTCTGGAAAATTGACGGATAATGAAGCAGAGCTTCTCTTGACGAAGAACATGATTGGTGGCAAGAGTTGGATCAGGTCTACGCCAACCCGTTTCAAGAAAGCTTCGACTAAACATGCTTGTTCATCATGAAGAACATTAATAAAAAGAATAGTTTGCTGATGTAGTGATGTCAATGACTTTGATGTTCTTGCTCATCTTCATGTTAGAATTTTTTTATTTTTTTTGTAATCATATTAAATTTATTCTTTTATTTATTTGTAATTACTTCAAAGTAAATGATTGTGAATTTCCCTTGCATCATTCGTGATGGTATAAAAGTCAATATCGATGATTTAATAATTTTTAAAAAACTAACATTTTAAGAAGCTTATGACAGTTTGCTCTCGAAGGAAACATGAGCAACTTAGATGCTTAATTACTTGATTTAATGACCGATTTAAAAATATTTTTTAGGATAGATATATATATATATATTAACAATATAATACAAATAAAATTTTAAGACAGAACAATCAGTAAAATAAATAATTAATTAAAAAAATAAATTTAAAGATAGATAAAGGATGGATCTGCAACTGCTTCACCTTATTGTCATATAAAGTGCAGTAAACTCTTCTTGTGCCTTTCCTATCCTTTCTTTAAGCCCAGGAGCTCATGGAAAAAGATAGGAGTGGAGAACTTGTTCCTTATCATCCTCTCTTTAAGTTGGATCCTGAGCTTTGATGATCATTTTATAATTTTTTATAACTGAAGGACTATTTACAAATTTTACCTTTATACTTATTAGTGGCTGCTTGAGAAGAACAAACTAAAATTCGACACGTACTGAAAGTCAACATATCAGTAGACGAGAAGCAAAAGCCAAGCTGAAATGTGCCTTGTCCGGGTTTTCGACGGTTGTGAAACTGATTTTTTTACTATAAAAGGGTGGAAAACAGATCATCTTCGTCATCATCTCTTCAACGACACAAGTTGAATTACGTGTCAGTTTCAAAGTGTTGTTGAGATGGCTATGAAACAAGTTGCTTCCTCTGCTATCAAAGCAGTGACAAATTTTGGGTCGTCCTCTGTTCTTACCAGACAACTCCATGTAAGCTAATCCATGTTCTTTTTTCCTCTTCATTTTAAGTTGAAATTTGGTTTAGGTTTTTCGTTGTTAAGACTATTCCAAGTTTAGATTTTTTTTTGTTAAATCATCAAGTGATTTAAGTGAATTTGATGGTTGGAAATTGAGATGGTTGGAAATTGAGATCATCGAAAAACAATGAAGCACCTGGCTAGTTCCTTTGCATGCATTGGAAGATTATTTAATTACTATTTTTGAAGTAACTTAAATTTTCAAGATTGATACGAATTTCATGTTTTTTCCCTGCTATTCCCCTTTTCACTAGTGGCTAAAGTGTTGATGTCTTGTAATATTTGTCTTACAGGCTTCTCCTGGGAGCAAAAAGATTGTTGGTGTGTTTTACAAGGCCAACGAGTACTTAACAAAGAATCCCAACTTTGTTGGTTGTGTGGAGGGAGCCTTGGGCTTGCGCCAGTGGCTCGAATCACAGGGGCACCAATATATTGTTACCGACGACAAAGATGGACCGGACTGTGGTAACTATAATGATCCCTACCATCTTTTTCCGATATGCAGTTAATGTATTACCTGTCATCATTGCATGATGCCGATGCCGATGCCTCCATGATCTTGCATTTGCATAGGAAAGTAAATTTGTTTGGTACACGCAGAGGGTGTCACCTTACTAATTTGCAGTGTGTGTCCGGGATAGTGCAATGAGCTTTACATGAAATTGATAAACAACTCATACTTGTTCCTAGTGCAGGTAGCACAGGAATGTTGTCATGGAATCATTCCTTCTGTAATTCTTGTGGAAATTATAGCTTGTAGAACACGTGTTCTCTAGTTGGGGTAGCACTGGCTTCTTGTGTTATATGAGCTTGTAGTCGTATAGTAAGAATTAAAGCTGAGTTTACAGTTTAGAATACCGGTATTGTTACAATATGTTGGTGCCATGATTCAAATAGTTAGTCCATGGCATCCCTTGCTTTGATCTATTATTTGAACATCCAAAATAGTTTCTGAAAATTTTGAATACAAGTTTGGTTTTAATCACTCGTTTCCATATTGCAGAACTCGATAAGCATATCTCTGAT